TCCCTAGAATCAGCATTTGCTTCACTTTTCCTCCCCTGCCCTTCTTCTATCTTGTATTCTCATCGAATATTAGATTTTGGATCGGATACATTGCTCTATTTAAATTCAAACCCGACCCAATCCAAACTAGGGTTTTTGAGTTTTATCCAAATCCGATCGGAGAGGATATTTTTAATTTTCAAATAAAAAATAAATCTGTCTTGAATAAATTTATTTTAGATTTCAATCAAATATTTGAATATTGATACATTTGATATTTTTCAAATTTTCCATCAAAATTAAATCGTTCGATTTTCAAAATAAAGAAAAAAATTGAAAAATTTTATGTAATCAATAAGACAAAGCATTATTGAAAATCAATACATCACCAATGATCCATATTGGATTTCATATATCAAGTTTTTCACATCATAATCCATTGTTAAGCAAATGATCATACTCTAGATTAAACTCTTGATGCACATTGGCTAAAAGATTATCATCAACTTTGATCTTCACATGATAGTATTTCTTGACATGACAACTCTTAACATAATTTAAATCCACAATTGTTTTCTTATGAAGATTTCTCTCTTGACTTGAATCTACTTTTAGATCTAAAACACTAATTATTTTTGTGATTTTATAAATATGACATAACTCAAATCTCATTGAATGATTCAATGATGAAAAGTACAAAAAAACATTATTTTTTACCTATCTATGGCACTTTCAATCATATATTGCAGCGTTCACACTTCAGAATTTAAATTTTTACCAAATGTTGATGAAACCAAAATATCTAAATATGATTATGTTGTCATATTTTTATTGCACAATATGTATTTAGTCATTAACATTATCACAACACAATAGAAAATGAATCAATAACATTTAATTATAAACACTATATGTATAGTTATAAGCTTTAACACAACACTCTTCTTGGATTATTTGCTTGTCTACATGCTTGGCGGATCCGTGATCAAATTTGAGTAATATATATTTTCATCACTTGTATTTGTTCATGTTTTTGTCTATATTGTTTCATTTAATATTATTTAAGCTCAACTTGTTTCTTGGCATATTGAATGGGATTAAATGATAGTTCAGGTAAGCATTAAATGCTCACATTTTTTAGCACAATCATTTTCATCTTCAACATTTTGTTTGTCAATTGCACCTCTAACAAAATCACTCGTTTTGTTGTAATAATATCAAGATTTTGCACATGAATCATTCACTCTTACAACAATATTAGATTCTTTGTCATGTTTCATGAGTTGAAGATGTAAAACATACGCATGAAAATTCAAATTTTTATTTTTTCATCAGAATTCATGTACTTAAGTAGATTTTTGATCTTATTGATTTTTTATCTAACTAGTTAAATCATAAATAAACACAACGTTGAAGTTCTTTTAGACTTAAAATTTTGTCAAGTTGAAAGCTTTTTCCAAGACATTGGCATTAAGATCATTTTATGCTACTTTTTTTCAAATCTCAATGAAGAATTTTGTTTGGAGATAATTTTTGTTAAAAATTTGCAATTTTTCTTCATGCAAGCCTCAATTCTTTATCCTCCTCGACCAACATCACCTTATTTGTGCACATGTTCAGAGTTCAAATTCTGAAGAAAATGTGAGATTTTGGAAATTGTTTATTCCTTCCACAATTACTTGAATGTCTTTCAATTTGATTTCAATGCTAACTTTAAAAGCCTGCAAGTTTGTGAGTTTTCATAAAAGTGGTTGCAAAATTTTTAACTTGAACAATATTGGCTCAACATGATTTACCAAAGCGTCTACCTACACGACAAAATTTTGTTTCTATATCAATCACTTTTTTTCTAGCGTTATTATGATCAATATGATTGTTGCATCACGTGATAATTCATTTTAAATTTTGCTATCTTAGCCGTTTTTTATGCTAAACACGTGAAATTTAGATTTGCAATTTTTTGCAATATAAAATCTCAATTTTGTTTTTCATAAGCTTCAATCTTCAAAATTTTTCCTTCAAGTAAATTTTCAACGTCTTTTTTGTTATTAATTCATCAAGAATATCATGTTTCATAAGGTCCACAACCTCCATCAGCTTGTCAAATTTTGTTTTTAACTCCTCCCGATATCATCAATGACTTCATCCTTGATTTTAAATTTTTGCTTCATCTTCATTAACTTTCCCTGTTTGACCTCCTTGATTTTTTATAATACTTTCTGAACTGCACACAATAAATCCTTCCAAATTTTTTAAACTATTATGATTTTAATCTAAATATTTGTCTCTAACTATTTTATAGATTTTAAATACTCATGTTTTAACAAACATGAGTGTAATCATTACGCTTATTAATTGATATTCAACTTTTCTAAAATTTATGATATTGTCAAAAACTTCACTTTCAAGCTTTGAACACAATTTCTATCTTTAATAGCTCTTCATTATTATGTTGTTGATCTTTTCATACGTTTATTACTCCATTTCATGTTGCAATATTTTATAAATTCATCCACTTCTTTAGTTAGTTAGGCGGAAAGGGCGACATCATTTCTATACATCCATTGAAGTCTTGTGAAGTGCGTTCATCTTCTTCTTGCAATTAAAAGCAATGTAGAACTAGCATTGTATCATTTTGACATGCTTGCCATTCGATCATACTGAGAATACTTTCAAATCAAGCATGATAACATACTTTCAAGCCAAGTCGCATATCATTGACCTTGACGTAATCACTTGCACGTTGAAATCACATACACAAATCACTCCTTTCAATAACAAACCAAGCAACTCTAATCTCAATAATCAATCACACAACACTCTTGCATAAATCAAGTCAAAGAAAGCATAAGGAGATGCGTCAGATATGTAATTTAGATGACGTGATCTCCAATTGCTAGCATTAAGTAGTTTTGTATATTGTTCTATAGTAATTCATATTTCCTTGATTCATTATGATAAGCTTCATGATCTAGACAATCCAAAATCTTCATAATTTTTCATCTCAATACAGTAAATATATCCATCAAAATTTAGATTCAAAGTGCAAAGAAAATTCACAATTTTTGTGCATCAATGTTTATTGAAATAAGATGAACTAGATCACTACAAAGCGTATATCTCCACAACGAGCTTCAAATATCTTTTTGATAATCAATTCTTTAACAACTCTCACTTACAAAACTCAACTTTTTGTGTGTGTTTATAACAAGATGATGCTATATTTACGTATACACACACATAAATGTTGGTTTATGCTTTTGTTGAAATTTTTGTAGCCTTTGATAAATGTCGTGCAACTCGGTATCGTCATACATCATACATCGCTCACATGCTCTACTCACAACTCACACATACATACATAAGGAACGAGGCTGTACACACACAAAGGTATCACAACTCGCCCCCCTAGCTGACGATCAGGTCCCTCCGACTCCCAGGTAGCTCTATCTACAACTACATGCTATGCACCTTCGTGGGTGCGCGAACCAGTAGGCCGTATGCTATGTCGCGCCATAGTTAGTCGCCTATCCGCAATTCATAACATGTGAAGATCAAGTCATCTACTCTTTGAAGTACATTGAGGACAAACCCACCGTCTAGTAGGAACAACATCGATAGGTGGAGTCAAGCGCGACATGTGCCATCCCCTAGAACACCTATCACACACCAACATATGCTTTGAGACGAGCTCAAAGAACCGACAGTTCTTTAAACTCGCCTTGAATATATCCCTGGAAGGTGTCGAGTCCACCCAACGCTACTAGACCATCTGCCGTGGCCCAACGTCCCCCGACTCCCAACGTCACCCGAATCAAACTCGAATCCAATGTCTATACATATGACATAAATCAAGATAATAAAACACATTCTTTAAAAAAAAATTGATTTTGAAATTAAATCTGGTTTGTATCAAGAGCCATATTCTTGGATGGAGCTTAGATGAAGAGTGAATATAAGTACGTCATACTAAATGAAATAATTCAAATGTTCTATGCTTATTGAAAATTGATTCTGGACACTTAAAAAATACAACAAGAAATATAACAAGTGCAATAGTGAGTTTATCACCAGATCTATCTGCATTGTGATCACAAAAAGATGCCATGAGAGATGAATTTTGACTTTCTGACTTCTTTCCAAAAATACATCTACTTATGAGAAAAAATTGCAATTACATCTTATGACAATGAGAAGTTAAGCACATACAGACTCTCTTGATTTAACAATTTCTGAATGTATAGAAAGGTCTAATTTGATACTACTCTGTCTTCTTGTATTGAAAGGTTTGTTTATGCTTTGTATATCAAACTTACATGAGTCGGTGAGATTAGATGTTTTTATTGTGAAGTTCATGAATACTAAGAGTATGAAGACAATTTTCACGTGCCATGATTGGGCTCTATCATGAAGCTAGGGAGAATAGAGCTTCATGGCGGGGTGTCACTTTCTGCAAAGTTCCAAAACCGATCGTAAGTTAATGATCATGACGTTGATTATCGTCTTAAGGTTGCTCATCTTGATCCTAAATTAAAAATGATCAATCTTCAATGCTGCACCTGCAATGGATTTGATTGAGAGAAGAAGATTAGATCGAAGTGTTAACCTGTGTCTATTGTTTAAGGATGAAGCCATCCTTGATAATATTGAAAACTATCTTTGCAACCAACATTTGGATCAATGCACTATGTACTAGAATTTTAATTCCTCTTTTGATTGAGCTTCAATCTTTGATGAAGTTACCTTGCATTCAAGATTTCCATCGAAATGCATTCACAATGAAATGTCTCATTCCTATTCTATTTTTTGAATGTTACCACATGAGTCATTAACCTATCCGTAGTTGACTTTATTTAAAATATTTAACAATATGTTTTACTATTGGTTCAAGAGCTCTCTAACCAATAGTAAACCAAATGCCGAACACCAGTTCGAGAGCTCTCGAACTGTGTTCAACGCAGTTGTTTCTAAATGTAACCATGACAAGCGGAGAGAACTATGGTCGAATTGTTGTAACGTGGAGTGTTCTCCTCTCCCGTACACTAACCACTCTCTCTTTCACAGGATAGAGCAAAGTTTGACTGCACGTGCGGATGTCCAAGGCCATCTTCGGATCTCTGTCTGGGGAAGGAAGTACATCATTAGAGGAATATTTCTGAGGTCTGGTCTATGCGCGGGGCAATTTCTGCTCTCATTTGTTTTAATTGGGCTCAGCATCTTTGGTAACAAATCGAAATTGTAGACATGGCGATTGTTGCAGCGACGGTCATCGCAGGGCCGGGCTGCGGAATTAATGGATTTGAAATTGGAAGGCGGACACCGAATCTAGGTGCTGATAATGTTTTCGCTCGGGTGAGTATGTCCGCACTGCTCCAATTTCCATTGTGTTTGTACGGGAATTTGGACGTACTTTCCAGCTTCGGAATTATGGCGCGATCTCTCTCAGTTTAATCATGATAGGCGGGTTGGACTGCTTTCAGCCTTTTTTGTGGTGGACATCAATGAACTGCTCTACGCTCGGGGGATTGGCGGTCGAAGGAGGATTCAGACGGTCGAGTCTGAGGTTCACCCAGTCACAAGAAGGGTTCAAGCGAAGGCATTTCCAAGTGCAAGCAACTGAAACTTTGAGTCCACTTTTAGTCGCGGAGCAAAAATCTCTTGGAGAACTCACTCGAGATGATTTTCCGATACTTAACCAGGTACATCCGCTTGAGTTTCGCTAGTATATGCAGGGTTCACTCTTGTCGGATTGAATGTTCATTTCTTTCGCATCAGTTGCAGGTTTAGACTGAAGGGTATGATCTCAACATCAAGATTTTGATCGTACTTGTGTTAATCGGAATTTTACAGGAAATAAATGGAAACAGACTAGTCTATCTAGATAACGCAGCAACATCTCAAAAGCCAGCTGCAGTTTTAAATGCTCTGAAAGACTACTATGAAGGATATAATTCCAATGTACACCGGGGCATACATACTTTAAGGTACGGGCCCGGGAGCATAACCCTCCTTAATTCTCAGAAAAGGACGATATTTTGATTCGTTCCTGTTCGTGTCTCCAGTCCTGCTGTTTCTAGGGCCTAACAGTTATTTATGGGATGCATTGTTCAAGAAGTGCTGGAAGGTAAATGTTGAGTATTGTTACTGTGCAGTGCAAAGTCTACAGACCAGTTTGAGATTGCAAGGAGCCGAATTGCCAAGTTCATTAATGCACCTTCACATGCAGATGTGGTTTTTACTCGTAATGCGACTGAGGCAATCAATCTTGTGGCGTATACATGGGCTCTTACAAATTTGCAACGAGGTGATGAGGTTGGATCTCAGTGATCTCTCTTTTTTTGAAAAAAAAATACATAATTTTGGTGAAGATCTGCAGGTGGACCTGCGAGGGCCTGTTGAAACATATGAATTTCAAGATTATGTGTTCTGTGTAAGATCGTCTAGGTCAAATTCTTTCGTAAGATAGCTTGCGTAAGGCTTTAGTGTTATAAGAGCCTCCTTCATCATGTCTGCTCATGTGAAGTTTCCGGTGATTGTTCTTATCGAATTGAGTGTCCATAACGAGCTTGACTGTATTTTGGCAGATTGTTCTAACTGTGGCGGAGCATCATAGCAACCTTGTTCCGTGGCAGCTCGTGGCAGAAAAAGTTGGTGTTGTTTTGAAGTTTGCAACATTGACTGAGGATGAGAGTATTGATATTGAACAACTCAAAGGATTAATCAGCAACCGAACTAAGCTCGTGGCTCTCCATCATGTCTCGAATACTCTAGGTGCTATATCACTGGTTTTGATCGTAGATGGCAATCCGCTTCAGGATGTCTGTAGTTTGTCCACTTTCTCATCTTGGTTTACTGCACATGCTGATTTCAAGTACTAGAAGCGTCAAGGGGAATATCCGTTTTTCAAGATGTAATACCAAATTGTCTGAACCGTGCAGGATCGATTATTCCAATGAAGGATATTATTGTGTGGGCTCACAAGTACGGAGCCAAAGTTCTCGTGGATGCATGTCAGAGTGTTCCGCACATGGCCGTGGATGTTCAAGATCTTGATGCAGATTTTCTTGTAGCTTCTTCTCATAAGGTAGGTGCAGAAGAGGAGACATCACGTTCTGATCTAGTGCTCATTACTGTCTGCCATATATTACCTGCTCTTTCATATCGTTGACATAGTTGTTGTTTTTTTCTCTTCTGCCAAGTGTTGCACTGAGGGTCCTTGTGCCTACAGACAAGCCTATTCTGTACACAGGTCTCCAAAACGAAATAGTCAACAAATAAGGTAGGACAGTTCCAGGGATGGTACAGTCCACATAGCGAGGATATAAGATGGCTTTGTTTAATTGTCTACCTGGTAATATGGTTTATTTTATCATGTCCAATTTACTGCAGATGTGTGGACCTACAGGAGTTGGGTTTTTGTATGGCAAGAGTGAAATCCTTGATCGCATGCCACCGTGGATGGGTAAGAGTTCTTCAAGTCGGGAATTGCAATAGATGCCTCATTTTATGTTTGGTTTTTTGCTTGGTGGAATCAATTGTGAGTTTAGGTAGCTCTTCTAGGCTAGAATTGTATTATATATCTGTTTAGATTGAATTCGTTTACATATTTCAGATTATTGTGGCTGCATTTCATTATTTTAAGTAATCTTTGGTTCGATAATGGCAGTACGATATATATATATATATATACTTGGCCTTTGCCATAGGTGGTGTTGAATTTTGCTGCATCATTTAGACCCTGGTTTTCGTGTAGATCAGTCTATAGCTTCACAATGAGTACGTGCGGCCAAAACTTGTGCCTGGATGCTGCCTGTGCAAGGCGTAATCTACTTTTAGAGTATACAGTTTGCACCTCAATGATTTGGAGTCTGCATTTCGATGTTTTCTTTGTTGATACTGTTCATTGTGCGACTTGGTATGCTTCTGTAATCCAGGGGTTCATCTTGGAAGACATGTGTATTCTAATCTAAACGCTTATGTCGACCTATTAACTGAAGTATTCGTGCTACTTCACTCCAGGTGGGGGTGAAATGATTGCTGATGTTTATCTCGAGCATTCTACGTACGCAAATCCTCCTGCAAGGTAAATCAGCTTTCTGTCTAGTCTTTCTCAAAAGTCATTCCTCTGAAGAGGATTTGATTTGAGGTTTGTTAGTGAGGATCAGAGACAAGCTGTGATACTTCTGATTATTTTCCAGTCGGACTATGCTCAACATTAAACATTTCTAAGCCATCACATCATTTAATCTGAAAGTATCAGCTGCTTGTCGTGGAAGCCATAAAACGGAATCCCATTATGAGCATATTCTCATATCTTGAAATCTGGAAAGCATAAAAAGCTCAAATATGGACTGCGTACACTAAAGACTTATTTTTCCTCCGCAGCCCTGTGGCTTGTTTCTGCCCAAATGAATAATCAATATCCTTCCAGAGGTCCTGGCCTTTAAACTGAAACTTCTGGAACCGTGAATCGAAGAACACGTCTCCTTTCATTATTATTGTTTGCAAGCATAGACAATTTCGATTATACTTACATGCAATATGTCCTACGTTTTTGGAGATGTACAGTTTTCATATCGATCAGCCGATTTACATCTTGACTGAGCACTGTTTCCATTTTATGAGATGGGTCTTGTGATACTCAATAGAAGGAATAGTCTATATTCTAACAAAGACGAATTTTCTCTGGACGAGAGAGTACATTGTTTTGGTCTCTGGAGACAAGGCCTATGCTATAACCTGCGTGAAAGTTAGTAACTTGTGAAGAAATTAAGAAACTAAAAGTTACCTAAAGAGGTTTCAGCAAGTTCGATCTCGAAGATTTCAGGCTCTTTCAAAAGTCTCCTATATTATCTCTGCTTGACTTTTTGTGATCGTATTACCACGTTCTTGGATACAAGCTTTTAGTTTGAAGCAAACGATGGTGAAATTATTGATCTTGTTTGCTGGAATAATATTTCACTTGTAGACACGTCGTATGTCTGCGATTTGATCATTAAATTCTCTGAGAATTAGCCTATTTTCAGTTCCCTGTGTTAGTCTGATCCTTATCTAGCGCAGGGTCTTTGTAAATCCGTATGCTCTCAGAATCACCTTCTTCAAGAGGCAGTTTTATGAATGATCCTATGACGCATATTTTTCCGTTTTGTTTTACATATCTATGCTTTTTGACTGCCAGCTGTTCAAGTATTTTTAATGAACTGTTTGTGCGACCCGTGTACAGGTTCGAAGCCGGCACTCCGGCAATTGGGGAGGCTATCGGTCTAGGTGCGGCCGTTGAGTACTTGTCGAATATAGGAATGGATAGAATCCACGCATATGAGGTAGGTTTGAGCGAGCTAACTTTGTGAAGTTTGCTAGGCTAAATCTTTGCATGGATGTAAGTGCTTCTGTCTACTTATGAGAAAAAGGTGGAGTTATTCTCCAGATCTAACAAACAGGCGGAAATACTAGCAGATTTGACATTGACTTCATTTTTCTTGTTTTACAGATGGAGCTTTCAAAATACCTGTATGATAACTTGTCACTTGTCCCAGATGTAAAGATTTATGGTCCGGCCCCTGGTGCACATGGAGAGAATCGCGCCGCTCTGTGTGCATTTAATGTTGAGGGAATGCATGCAACTGACATTGCGACAGTCCTTGATATGGAGGTACACAATTTTAACGTTTTGGTGTGAAGTTTTGTGTTAATCATAATATATTGGATGTACTTTTATCTAAACGAAACTGAGGCAGCTTCGATGATTGGAACGAGCTTGAAGACGACCAGGATGTACACAAAACGTTAAATTACTACCTATTTTGTCTCCGGTTTGAGTATCCAACTTCGTCAGCAGTATGCATATTCGTTCTCTCTGCTCATGATTTGTTGACGCATGGAATGGTTTCCGCAGCATGGAATTGCAGTCAGGTCCGGACATCATTGTACACAACCTCTGCATCGACATTTGAATGTCAATGCAACGGCGAGAGCAAGCTTGTACTTTTACAACACCAAAGAAGAGGTCGATGCGTTTATTAGGGGTTTGAAAGAAAGTGTAGAATTCTTTAGCTCTTTCCGGTAGCTTCTATATAGATGAAGATCAAGTCCTATCTTCTCCTGTCTCGTCTATTTTAGGTATGGCTGTTTGATGGATTAAGAATGTACAATGAAACGTCAGAGTCGTGTTATTGAAGGATATAACAAGAAAGCATCTGTAAACTTTCATTCTTTTAGGTGTATGCATTCAAGCCTATACCTGTTAATGTAACAATAGAGAAAAATCGAAATTGCCTTTTTAGAGCGTATCCATCATTGATTACTGAAGTTGCATATGACGTTGGAAATTGGCATCGTTTCTTGCTGCTATCTGAACGTAGTCCCCAATATTCTATAAGGACCCATTGCTGAAGCAATCAAAATACTTCTGAAGGTTTGTTGCCGGTATGCACGAGTCCTGTTCTGCGAAATGTGCCGTGCCGACGTGAACAAGCCAAAATCTTTTAAGTTCAGTTTTCGTATGACATGTGATCTTATTGCGATAAATGTTGTCATTCACTATCAAGATTGGCATTTGGAGATGGAAATTTTGGAGTATTACCTAAAAGTTTCTTATATGTATGTAATTCTGAGGACAAAAGCTTGACGAACTAAATAGCTTCCCATTTAGTTAGTCATGCTCGTCTTGATACCCTACAACCATTTGATAACCATTTGATCAATTTAGTGAATTTTTCCATATAGTTTGAGTTACTACTAAAAGAGAGGTTTTGTTTGCAGTTAGCTAACTATTATGTGATAGATGGCTTCTCATGATGGAAAGATACATTAGCCTTCTCATTACCTCTCAAATCCCATTTTCCTTCCAACAACGTCTCTGTTTACGTTCTCGTTATTACTTATTTCCGTAGTCTATGGACATAGACTATGGAAAAATTGAAAAAGAAGAACCCGAACCATCAGTACCCGAACCCGACCCAGTTGTAAGTATTCTTCTAAAGCAACTTTTCATTATATTCGACATTGAGACTTCTGTTGTGATCTATTTTGCCCTTGTTGGTTTCCATAAAGTTTTATCCAATTAAATTGAGGTAGTCAAGCAGAGAATAGTGATGGAAAGTTTGTATATTCGATGGGAGTTGCAACGTGTGAGAAATGTGGATGAACTTTTCTTTTATCCTTCCTATCACCACATAAAAGAGATGCGTTTTAGGCATGTCCGATATGAAATCACCTATTGCACTAGAGAAACCAATAACATTACTATCCTTACAATCCAAAGAATTCTTAATGGATGCATTCATTCTTAGTGAGAAAAGGATTGATTAGATAATGATAATGGGGATAAGTTACGATGTAGCTATAACAAAGTTTAACTCATATTTGTTGTTTTGATAGGACAAAAAGTGATACAAGCAAATTCTTGACATAAGTTATCTTCTAACCAATGTTGAGTCCAAATTACAGTTCTTGTGATGCTTAATTACTCACAAATGTTACTATATTAGTGATTTGAAGAAGTATCAATCGTAGATGTAGCGCCTTCAGAATGGTACATTTGCACTTGCATATTATTAAAGGTCAAAATCAAGTGAGATTGCAAACAAGGTTTCATAATTGCTACAAACTCTCCATTTTACTATGTGTTCTCTAGAGATATCAGCTGTGCAAGATGTCAATTTTTTTCTCAATTGATTCCCTCAAAACATATTGAAGATTTATGAAAGGAAGAAAAAATCTTAATGTGACATAGAGTGAAGAACACTCGACCCTACAATTTCACTACACAACTTTCAATCATGAAATTATCACAGAGATATTTTTTTTAATTTTTTATTACATCATTTCATTGGATAATAGTATTTTATCAAATTTAATTTAATTTCATAATACAAAGACTTTGTATACATAAGAAACTTTTTTATTTTAATAATATATGATTTTCTTATATATAGCAATCAGATTTGTATTTAGGGTTATAATGAAGTTTGAAAAACCATCAATAGTTTGAATTTATAGATTGTATAAATTGCTCAATATTGTTAGCGATAATCCAAGTTGACATCATAAACCCAAAACCTTTGGTGACGGTGGATTTGATTTTGTGATCTCGTGAATGTAGTCAGAAGGTCTAATCATATGTACAGTCTGTGTTGTCGGCCTTCTCTTATGTAACCTTTTGTTGGATATTGTTATCAATTGGAATCAGAGCGTGTATTTGGATGTGATTCTACGTGACGTCAATATGTGGACATGGAAAAAGTTGAGAAGTTGAAAAGACCAAAAGAAGTAGCAGTCGAGATGATCACTAGTCATACTCTCTTTCGCACACTTGGTAAACGAATTTTGTCAATCTCATCATCATCAATGGGAGCGAGTTCTATGAGAGTGAAATTGTCTCTCGCGACTCTCATTCTGCTCAAGATCTAGTTGCAAATCTATAAGTCACGTGCTAGCGCAAGTTTTTGCTGCTCCTTCAAGACCCTCATTTGATCGATATTTTTTGAAAAGGAAGTGATGAAGAAAGTAGCATCAAAGAAACTTTTTGCTTGGCACGCGGACGCAAGCTCTGCCAATCATATATCTCCGTATCTTTGAACTTTCTCTCATGCTTTGATTTCCTATTTCCACAGCCGAGATGGTAATCCATCGCGTGATCCGCACGACACAAATTAATTTCACTATTTGCACGCAGCCTATTGATTTGATCACTTGCAAGATTGTTGATCTTCCAATCATTCTCTTTTGAAAGTGATTAGGAGCAGTCGAGCTGATTGAAACTTTAATTTAAGTGAACTATCAAAGAAGTAGATGCCACAAATTTTCTTGTCTTCTTTGGAGGAAATTTGAAAGGTGCTACTAAGATCAAGAATTGGTATTTCTTCTATGTTTCTACATCAAGTTTGAGATTTGTGATATACAATACTAGCTAGCGGTACTTTATATTTTGAAATTGCAATTTTTTTGATTTTGCAAATAGACGAGTAATGCTAGATGCACTCTTTTGAAGTGCATCTAGCATTACTTGTGCACAACAGAAATGATCATTTTGACTTGGTGATTTTCTTTATTAAGAGTACAAAATCCACATTGAAACCATTTTTGTGGGTTCAATCTACTCTTGTAAAACAATATATGTTGTGTTGATTTGAAGTTCTCTGCAAACAAATTCCTGCAGTCAAGAAGCGTCGGGCTTCTTGTTGTAGACGTCAGTATATTTGTTGAGTACATATTCAACTTGATGTGAATCTAGATCCAAGTTTACATCAATTTTTGTTATTAACTATAAACAATTATTGACTTGAATTGTGTAAAATTGCACAAAGCATCAGAAAAAAGTTAATGTAATTTAATGAAGACACAAATTGTAGCATTTGTATCACATTTGAGATCAAACAATAACCAAGAGTAGGTTCTTTTTCAAATTTTAGTAGATGTTTGAGTTTGAAGCCACGGTAATTATCAACTAGATGTAATTGTTTATTTGTACAACGCGGTGGAGCTAGAGGAATTATAGAGTGGATGTATTTTCTTTTTTTTGTATAATGCAGTGGCACAAGTCGTAGATAGAAAAAAACACCAATCAAGAGAAGGTGTTTTCTCAAATTTTGGTGGTTGCTCAAGTCAAGAGTCAAAGGAATTATCAAGTGAGTGTACTTGTTTATTTGTACAACGTAATGGCAAGAATTAGAGATAAAGATAATAATGGGACAGAACAAAAGCGCGCGAGAGTATACATAGACAGATACTGTTATACACGAGGACGGTGGAATGCTAGATCAATGACAAAAACATTTTTGACAAAGAACAGTTGATCGTCATTTACTATCGATCACTATTATTAACAATTGATAATATTTCACAGTTGATCTCTGTTGATTGTTTATCATAGTTTATCGGTGAATATTTAGTTTTTAAATTATATTTTCTGTCCGCAATACAAGAGGTTAATAAGTGAGTGAAAACTTTCATTCAAACAATTACATACAAAACTTCAAGTGTTTTTTGTAATGAAATGATCGTCGTTCAATTCAAAAGAGCAAGGTACTACATAATCAAATTCAATGATTATTATCTGTTTTGGAGACACAAGTAAAGAGCATGCAGTTGGGCAAGATGTTGACATCAAAACCATCAAACTTCACAAACAAATTGTGAATATTGTCATATTTCATCTGCAATGTTTGATTTTGAAACAAATAGATGAGTATGACAAATATACTCTTTTGTTTGAGGGCTCTTGAGCGACATGTTTAATAGCAAACAGCTGTTAAAAAAATTGTATACTTTCTTGAAATTGATGAACTTGAAAGATTTTGATCTAAAGATCCAAGATCACATCGATGCATTTGGTGATCTTGTGATTGACATTCAAAATCTTGGAGAGGGAAAATCTAATGAAAGATCATAATATATCTAATTAAAAAAATGAAGAATTCTTAGTTTACATTTTGCATTTTTTCAGTTATTATCACGCGTTGTGTTTCATCATGATAAACAAGTCATCATTTACAACAAGATTGCAAATCATCTGTTGACTAATAATTTGGAGCAAAGGAATATATTATCATTTACTTCATACTTTTCTCTGGTACAACACTGAATGTGATTCGAGTTGATCAAATTCACAAAATGAAAAGGATGGTTAGCAAACTCATATGAAGTAAAATGCAAGATTTGATGAATTCATGAAAGCACAATATATTTCACGGAATGTGTATAGATGAGAAAAGTTCAATCTTATTATTCTACTATTTTACATGGACGACATATCATCTTGGCGAATATTCAATCCAACATTAACAAATACAAGAACCAGTTAAAGTTTGTATTCAAATTGAAAGATCTAGGTAAATCCTATGGTATATTCAGGTCGGAGATTGATAGAAAATTAATGAAGAATAGATTATTATTGAATCAAACAAAATTTTTCAAAGTATACTTGATAGTTTTAACATGGCAGATTTTTAGAAAGTACAAATTTTTTTGACACTACATTTCAAATTTTTTGTAGCTCAATGTCTAACTAATGTGATTAAAAAAGAAAAGATTTAATGTGTTACTTATGGCAAAATTGTAAACAACCTCATGTATTTGATTATGTGTACAAGATTCAATATTGCTCCAGCGATATGCAAGATGAGAAGATATGATATGTGTTTACACTTGATGATTGAATCCATTAATTGCAAATCTATCTTGCAAAAGTGTGTAGCTCATTTTACAACAGAAATTAATTGATTTAATCCATTAATTGCAAATCTATCTTGCAAAAGTAGTTAGTTCATTCTACAACAAAAATTAAATGGTTCAAT